CTCAAAAAAAAAAAAAAAAAAAAAAAAAAAAAAAAAAAAATTCCACTTTATTCATTTTTTGGTCAAGATTTCACCAATTTTTGAAGTTTACTATTTGCAAATACATTATTTTCTTGCTATAAAATATATCTAATGTCTATACATGAGTAATATTTCTTTTTCTCAGCTTCAGGAAACACTTTACAGCTGTAAGTTGAATAAACACTATGTTGTTAAACACGCCATTGATGTGATGTTAAATACATCAATAGAAAGGAGAAGATGGATCTGTTGCATCTACTGCCACTTCTCTATAAATTTATTTTTATTTCAAAATAAACCAACAATTTATTTAAAATAAACAATTCCTACAATATTTACATTGCACTATCCCAGTTTCAGTAATTTTTATTCTGAAGGTTTCCAAGGAACTGGCATTTTTACCTTATATATTCAGAAGCTTTGCAAACACTTTAAAAAACTATCTAAAACCTTTAAAATCTATCTAAAAGTAGATGTACTTCTATGTATTTTTTAAATAAAATATTAAGGATATTAAGTCATTGTAATGATGTAAGCAAAAAGTCAAGCTTTTATTGGGTAGCTACAGAAGTTGTAATTAGATTCTTTTTTGTTCCTTTTTGCTTAAGAATTTTATGAGTTGCCTGAATAGGAAAAATTAAATTAACAGGTTTTTTTTTTCTTTTAACCTGTTTCTGCTTTTGCGAGGTCCTCAATCACAACCGGGATGCGAATGGGGTATTGTGGGAGACAGGAGAGGAGAATACTGGGGAGAATACTCAGAGCATTGGCGGTAACCTTTCAATTCCAGCACTGAAGCAACAGACTGAGTGGAGGTGAACCTTTTCCTTCTCCCAGGCACAGACAAGGCGAGGTGAGGCAGAGATGGATTGCAGAACCCCATTCAGCAACCGTGGGGTGGAGGACAGTGCAGGGTGTCTCCAGGCTCTGGGAGGGCTATCTTCTCCTTTCAGAGCACATTTCTGCACAGGTCTTTTAATTCTCAGTGCAGCTCGCTCCCTGGTGGCTTAAATTACGGTAAACGAAATAACGTCCGTTAAAAACCACTTCTGAAGGGGGTGATTGTTGGGGGTTTTGAAAGCACAGAGGTCTTATAGAGACCAAAAATATGTGCCTCGTTAAAGATACAGAAAGGCTTGTAAGTGAATCTTCATAACTCTGGGTACGTGCATGTATATGCACATATACGCATGCATGTCTCTTTTCTATACCTTAATATAAGTTTTCTGCCCAAAACTTTCCTCGTCCATGCGTTCCCTACCATGGCACATCTAATCGTCTGCCCTATTTGTGGCTGCACAGCTCATTCTGCAGCCGGCTGGGGAGCTGTTGCTTCTGCCAACGCCGTCGTCAGCCAGAGCGCTGAAGAAATGCTGAAGGCCAGCAGGCAACGAAAGAGTAAAGAAAACGCTCTCCTCCTGCCCATCTCCTCCACCACCGCCTCCCCAGTCCTCCCAGGTGACTCCCAAACACAGCAGAAAGTTGGCTCAGAGATAGGGCAGAGGAACCGGGGGGAGGGGGGAGTGGTGGGCTGGGCGGCTGAGGCCGGGAGGTGGTAGAGGCGGGTCCCGCAGCCCCGAGAGCCCCCCGCGGCCGCCACGGCAGCTGTCACCTCCTGGCCTCGCCCCACAGCACACCTGAGCCTCCTGGGCAACCCCGAGCCCACAGCTCCCAGCCGCAGCGCTAACTGCCCTCCTCAAGCACAGGTCGCCGCGTCCCCAACTCCCTGTCCTCACCCCGGCCCGCCCGTCGCCTCCTCCGCCCTCTCCCGACTGCAGCGGGGGCAGCGCTTTGGCGCTCCCAAGGACTCTCAGCCACTCTCCCAGCACGGGCAGCGGCGGCGGCGGCGGCCGCTGCTGGATCCCGGCACTGCAGCCCGCAGTCCAGGACACCCCCGGCCGGACGATGGGGACCCGCGCCTGAGCATCCCCGGGGCAGGCGCCAGGCGCGAAGGCAGGGGGCGGGAGGAAAGGGGCGGGGGAATTCCTGATTCCCTGGCGGACCCTGGAAGTTGTCCTTAAATAAATATATCGCTGGCCCGCGGTTGAGCAGCCACCTCGTCAGAGCAGCATGTGGACTGGCTCGCCGGGTCCCCTCCGTGCTCTGTGCTGTCGCCGCCACCGCCTGTGTCAGAGCTGCAGCTGTCGGCAGCAGGAGCCCCGCATCGGGCGCGGAGCAGGGACGCGCTGCCGCCGCCTCCCCCTGCGTCCTGCTGGCCACTTCTTCTCGGGAGGTGGCAGTCGCTGTTGCCGCTAAGAAACCCGCCCGCTTTCCACGGCTGGTCGCCTGGTGAGGAGTTGAGACTCTGCGCCTCCGCCCGGACCCACATGGCTTGTTACCTGGTCATCAGTTCGAGACATCTCAGCAATGGGCACTACCGGGGCATTAAAGGAGTCTTCAGGGGACCCCTCTGCAAGAATGGATCTCCCTCTCCGGTAATGTGCGCGCGCACACACGTACACACACAAACGTTCCAACTCAACACAAACGAAAAGATATTGAGAGATAGTATCCTGATTCAATGAGTAGGTGGTGGACATCTAAAACGTAAACCTTATCCATAGGTGTGGAGGTACATCGTGTCCATTTATACAATTTATTGACAGACTGTGACACAGAGAGGGGTGTGTATTTACATGTGTATTTTCAATCCAGTCAGTAGGATCTATAGTGCTACGGATGTAAATATTTACTGAATGCAGTTAACTGCAGGACTCTGAAGGTAGCTCCTCTGTGCTATGTCAACTTACGCATCTGCTGATTTGGGCAGTGTAGAAAGTTTGACTGGCACGTTATAATGTGCTTTTTGAAGTCATCAGTTGAGATTAGTTTAATAATGCTACTGTTACTTTATGAGAAAAACTCAAAGATTTTGCCTCAAATCACTGGCAAAAGGAAAGGTATAGGTAGTGAAAACTTGATTATATCTAATGCTCAACTATGCACATTCTTTAAGGGGAAGTAAAAGAATTCTTTATGGAAATCTGAGTTGGATAGTTTATTGTATAATATACAAATATATTAACATGCAATTAGAGTGATTGCTTTTTAACTTAGTAATCTATTCAATTTAGTTACTATTCAGTTTATTCATATTCTTTTTATAAAATAATTTCATCCAGATTATATGAGTTAAATCCATTATTAATTCATTTCTTGGTACATACTATAAACTAATGTTTTAAGACTCCAAATGTGTTTCAAGAAAATGTGTGTGAATGTGTATGTGTGTGTGTATGTATATATATATAAATTTTGGACTACTAGTGACTAAGCATGCAAACTTAAAGACCAACTTTTGAGGTTTAATATAAAAAACAGTATTTAAGTCTGTATATCAAGAGGGAAAATTGAAATTACCCAATTTTAATTTTTGTATGGTTGATATTTTCCATCATGGCTTAACGCTTCATTAGCATGAATTATTCAAAACTGCAACATATTATAAAACCTTTGATTATTAATAAATACTATATGTAATTTACATGAGAAATCTAAAATCAGAAAGCACAAGTGCCTAGAGATATCACTAGGATTCCTCATGACAAATTATTCCTTCACATGCTTTTATATACTACAAAAAGTGGATTGTTGCAACTATTCCCCCCAACAACTGTATACAGTACTGAGTCAGAACTGTTAGATGGAAAATACTGTTTATATGAGTACTTAACAATTAAACTCACAGGGTTAGCAGGCACTTGCAGAGTTCTAGTTGAATAAAGCCCACATTCAGTCCCTCTAAGTAGCAGGTCTGAATCTTTCCCATTTCTAAAGATTCTCAGAATTGGAGTTCCTGCAGTCTCAGCAAACCACTTTAATGTTTAACAACGCACAGTGCCAGGAGAATCTTTCTTACAGCAAACTTAAATCCTTTACATTCTTCTTTAGGTCCATTTTTATCTAAAAAACCTACAGTGTTCCGCCTTTCTCACAGGTATTATTTTTCAACGCTTTGGTAATCTCTGTGCCTGTCTTTCTTGCCCTCCTTTTGGTTATGGAAAACTAAATTGGATAGTGCATTGTACTGTTTGTGCCTCAAGACTTCTCAGTATAAAGGGAGAATTGCTTCATAATCTTACATGGTTTAGTTCTTTTCAAGTTGGTTAGACTATGGTGTTCATCTTCCCAAATCTGTAGGGCTTGCAGAGGAATTTCTGTTACACAGTCAAAAAGTGTCCTTTCTCTCCCACTTGGTCAGTCATCTCCCAAGAGCCTGACTGATGCTATAGAGACTAGATGTGTGAATGTAGATGGGAGAAGACAGCCCACTGACCACACGGCTGTGCTGGTTGACCAGGGTTCATCAGGTGCTCCCCACCCACAGGGCACTATTTTTATTCACTGCTGGGCTGGTTTTTACTAAAGTACAAATTAATTAACTTTGCTATCTAGGATCTACACTTTGACTCACTGGAAGGTTCTCTCCAATATTAATTTACACATTTAGATGTACTTAAATTACATATGCATCAACAAAAAATATCTAAATTAAATGATGTATGTACTTTCTCAACACTATTTGATTTACTTGCTCTTCTTTTACATTTTATTATGGAATTTGCATGGCTTTTTCAATATTTGAATAGTTTTTCATGTGAGCTGGGCACTGTGTGAAAATTTGTGTTTATTCATTCTCTGTCATTGGCAGGTTGTCGAGATGAGTCTTCCAACAAGTTGAGGTCCTCTTCCCATTACATAACACTTAACCTTTCTCCCTAAGTTGAAATGGATCACTACCTTCTGGACTTTAGATCTTTACACATTTGAAAACTTTCCTAATCTAGACAAATGTATGTTTGCCTTCTTTATTAATTAGTTGCAAAGTATGAAACTGTAAACTGTGATTATAGATCTTTTTTTTTTTAAATTCAGCAATACACATTCCCCAGTTATTTTCAGGTTGACATAACTTTATTGATTTTTTTCCTTTAGTATAAATGTTAAACTCAGAGATCCATAAAATATATTCATCTATTTTTAAAAAACACAGCTACTCTCACATTATTTTTTTTTCAAATTTAGTGCCAGGAATGACCTAAAATTGACCTCTACATCAATGACTTTAATTATTTCCACTCACTGAAACTCAGTTTATTTAGTATAGAGATATTCTTAGTTGACTTAACTAACTTTCACTAAGCTTTCCAATACTTTAACTTTGGTCCTTGCCCTTTTAATCCAAGTGTCTCTCCTATTAATTTTGTTCCACATTTTTCTGTTTTATTAGAACTGTTTACATGTAGAACATGGTCTTAATATTCAATTAAAAAATCATTGGTTAAGACTACTTTCTACCTCTGCTACAAAAAGGAGAAAGCTACAATACCTTTTTGACATAATAAGGATTTCTTTTTTTGTAGTTCTGATATAAATATACCTAGATATTATGGATAAAACATTTCACTTGCCTATAGACATAATTCTTCAATTATATAGGTAAAGTAGTTGTGTACATTTATGTTCAAATTGCATGTCTGTAAAATCTGAATATATGATATTAAGCTGAAAGTAAAAAAGAATATATTTATTTCAAAGGATTTCATTTAGAAAACATGTTGAATCATTACATGGAATTGTTATAATAAATTCTTAATGAGTTATTTGAGAAATAAAGCATTTTACCCCCAAACAGTTTTCACAGATCAGTAAACTGAAAATCCCAGAGTGAAATTCAGCTTCTATCTTCAAAGCGAAAACATGGTAATGTATTTTATCTATTGCATCTCTCCTCTTTTTAGAGACTGTGTGTGAAAAAATAGCATACTGCTCTTTAAACCTAATTAAAATGCGAATAATTGAGTGGAGATAGTTTATACTACTTTAAATCCAGGGATATATTAAAGAAAGTAAAAGAAAATAAAAATGAGAGGATTTTATGGTGCTTAATGATAAAAGTCTCTATTTTTAGAAATTGTGCATTTTCTAAATTCTACCACAATTTATGATGCTTATCCCCTATTCTATCTAACCTCTAAAATAATATGACTGCATGATGACTTTAAAAATCATTATAAGATACACATACACACATTATAGATAGATAGATACACATTGCTATCTGTGCTCAAGTCAAGTAAGTTATTTATATATTAAACAGTCTTCTACCATCAAAGATATTAATGGTAAAACTTTGTTTTAATAATTGGGAGCACTTAGGAGACCCAGCAAGCCAGTCCACATGGTCTGCTCTGAAGAGGTGGCTGCTCAGTTTAATAATTAAATTTAATAACTTAATCAATAATTAAGCTATTCATGAAGAACACAGTCTATAGATGAATTCAGTGTTCATGAACTTCTAAGTTCTATCACCACATTTGAATTCAATAAAACAAATATCTTCTATGTAACAAGAAAAATATATTTGACTTGATTTTTAGTTATGTAATCTAAAATAGCATCTCAAGTTTATATTTGAATGTAGTGTGGTTAATAGTGAGACTATCATTTGGGATACCTATTGATTACATGTTAATAATAATGGTAGATATGTATTTTATCTGTGGTACATATTTAGCTTATTATTACTCTTTTGAAGTTTAGATAAGTTTACATTTCTTAAGAAGTGCTTATTCCTGGGGGCACCATAGAGACTAGAAGGATGTGGAATATAAATAAACAAGCATTTTAAATGGACCAAAAATCTACATAATTCCCTTGATAAGTTACAAATGTGTATATCTATAAATGAAAGAAGTTCTAGAAGAGATGAACTACCCTGAAGGTGCGTCCATCCAGAGAACTTCTTAAATAAGGAAATGAATGCAGTTAAGCCCTTGTCCTTTTTTTTAAATGCCTATAATATCTGATTGTGTATATTTTCATTATGCTTAATAAATACACATTAAAGACATTCAAAATTGTTCTCAAAGTAATGTACTTTTCAAGTGCCAAATATAATTATGAAGACATGCCCTCCTGTAGAGAAGTCGCCTGCATCCTCTTCTTGAATTCATGAATACGTAATACTGCCTTTGATGTTGAAACTTTCAGATGTTTTCAATAAAGACGACTTCGTTACAATTCTTATAATACATGTTCTCTTTATATGTCAAGTATCATATAAAGCAACCTCCTTCCTTCTCATTGCCTTTACAATCATTTCTTCTTTCCCCTAACTGATTTCAAAAACTTTGTAGTTAGCACTTATGCTAGTTGGTACTTTCCAGAACCTAAACAAATTTGTGTTTATTTGACTTCAGAAAGTTTCCATAGTAAGAAGACTCAAATAGGTATTTCAGTGCTATAATTTGTGGCTTATATTAGATTATACTACATTTATTTCATAATTAAAATTTGAGGGCTTATATACCTTGATTAGTTTCTTTTAGATATATGATTAAAATAAACTCTATTTTAGTTTCTGCTCCATAATTTGGAACTAAAATAAAAATGAAACATGTTGGTATCATGGGTAGGCTAAATGTGTATGGCA